AATAATAATAATAATAATAATAATAATAATAATAATAATAATAATAATAATAATAATAATAAGACACCTAGATAGTTTTTCATTTCTGAGGCAGAACTAGAACTCCGTCTTCTGGCACCTTAATCACTAGATCAAACTGCCTCTCTTTTGCTTTTGTTTTTTAAAATCTCATCTCTTTTCCTGGTGATTACCTCCATTCAATTATAACTTTCTCAGTCTTTTCTTTCTTTGCAATTCATTTACTGTTCCTATATTTATTTTATAATTTAGTATTTATTCACACACTCCATATGATAAAACAATTGAATATATTTTTGACTATTTGAATATTCATTCACTTTTGCATTATATTCGGATTCATTTATCACGTTGAAATCTTTCTTGACTTTTTGTCTTCTTGTTTAACACAGTATCTTATACATAAATTTTCCCAGAGCATTTGACTTTGTTCTGTGGTTGTTGATATACTGAATTCTCGGTTCCCTTATGGTTTTATGCATAGCTATTTTCATTTTTACACTCATTCCTCTTAACTAGCTACGACCTCTTAGTTTCCTACCACTATTTGCACATTGTATTTTTTCCCCCATTTTCACAGCTTCAATAAACATTCTACTGGTACACAGCTTCAAATTCCTACTCAGTTTTTTTTCACTATTTATGCAATTGCTAATTTCATTTTCCTTGTTAAACACAATCATTTTGCTCCCTGATACGTTATTTTCTTTTTCTTTTTTAACATTTTTTAAATTTTCTTTTAATACAAACATTTCATCTTTCATTAAACAGTGTGTCATCTGAGTACAAATGTTTTGTGCAATAACCATTAAAATTTACAACCACATTCATCATTTTTATCTATTCTTGGATTAATACTAATACATAACATATCTACTATTGTAACATTTCTGTTCTTAGCTTACTGTATTTGACTTTGTAATACCTTTTCAATATTTCACTCCTCTGCTTTTATTTCTAATTTTCATATTTATTCTCTAACCATTGATAAAATAACTCCCATATACTATTATTGCATGAAGAGCTTGGCTAGTGTACTTGCTCTGGGGATCTTCAGGCAAGGCATGAAGTGCACCTGTTTGAAGAAGAGGTTGGTTATCATCATGTTTCCTGAGCTCTCTGGTAGTTCCACTATAAAGTCAATGGAACTCTTTTTCCAGCGTGCTTGGGGTTTTGCTACTGGTTGTAGGAGATCTGGGGTTTTCCCTGGACACCTCTTTGCTGATGAACAGAGAGGGAGCTAGCCACATAGTTCTCAATATCCTTTTTCAGAGATGACCACCAGAATTGACATTTTGTTAGGTGGAAAGTTTTTACAAAATGTCCTGCTGTCTTTGAGTCGTGGCTTCTTTGGAGGAGTCTCTGCACTGATTCTCTGGTATTTACAATTTGGCCCTCATCCAGGTTAAGCCACCCCGTATGTTGCATTCTGCCTTGTGGTTTTGAACAAATCATCTTTTTCTAAAGCCCCTTTCAGCATTACCAGTAACTCATCTGGCATTTGCGGGGTGAGTTTTATCTGTGCTCTGGTAATGGTGGGGGTTGCCAGCTGTTGGGAGAAGATAACTGGGCTAACGACTTCAGCTTTGGAACTATTATATTGAGGCAGTCATGAGAGGGCATCGGACAAAAGTTTTTAAAGCTTCTAGATTTTTGTGGTCAATAAAAAATGAATGTTTTTTCCCTTTCCAGAAAAAGTGCCTCCACATTAAGAGCGCCCACCACGCTGCATATGCCTGCTTTTCCGAAACCACCCATCTCCACTCAGAGTCAGACAATTTCTTAGAAGAGTGAGCTCAAGATTGACTCCTTGGTC